AGAGTCTGTATTTCCTGAAGGGTATAACCTGGGAGTCTTCAAGGCCCGAGTGAATAGGTTGCTTATGGGACGACGTGCTCCATCGTAGACCGCATCATCGCTTACCATCAGGTGAGATAGTGGTCAAACGTCGCCCCATCAAATATAAAAAAAAAATAAAAAATAATAATAATCATCAATTGCACAATTCAAAATTGTGGAATTGTGGACCTTATAAAAGAAGAACTTTTAAAAGCGATTCTAAAAAAATGGCGTCTCCTAATATAATGTTATTGATACAATTAACGAGACACAAACGGTCGCCACAATAAATAAAAATAAGTAAGAAAACGAAGCGAGCCCGCTTTTCACTATTAGTCTTTGAAGTCTGATAGTAATTAATAGTGCTGTGCTTTATAAGTATCGATATTACGCAACTTGACATTATATTAAGCTTGTTTTTGTTACTTGTATGATTAGAAGGATAAATATTTCCATTATTAGCAGCCTATAAGTGCCAACCTGACCAAATGCCTTTTCTCTCACTTCTCCGTGAGTTTTAATCGCCACGCTTGCTCAATGCGGGTTGGTAATTGCAAACTTATAATTACAATACACAATGTTTTTGTCACTATTTGTCAGTGTTTGAATTTTATCAAAATTCTGTAAATTTAAAATATTTCGTTCGAGGCATAATTGCAACCTCAATAACATTTCTGGATATTATTTAATATATGTATAAAATACCAATAAACATATATTGTGTAATGTAAACAAATACTATGAACTTAATTATTTTCATAAACGTGAATATTGTTATTGATTTCCAGAAAATACTGACGTACCATACCATTACTTATTCATATTAACGCAAATTAAACCTGGTTTCTGATAATATTGGAAATAAAAGCCAATAATTTCAGTATTATAACACTGAAACTTTCCAATACTTGCCAAAACATAATTATCAACGTTTGCAATCTTCTCGCAAAACTGCAAACAACTTTATCATTCCAACATTTCATTTTAACAAACTTCACGCGACTTTAAAGGACATCGAGGTGCAACCAAATTATCGATAACCGCAACTCGGGAGCGAACTTCATCGATAACAATGTATCGACATTTTCCAAGCACTAGCGACAGATAAGCATCGGTTGCACAAAGTTAATTAAAAGTCTTTTTGTTTTAAGTTAATTAGAAATGATACAGAGAACCTAAGTGTTTAACTTGAGATACTAGTTAACAGTGAACTGACTGGTTTAAAAAAAACTATATCTATTCTATACTTATAATAAAATTGTAGAAGTGTAAATTCTGTAAATAAAAATATTACTGATAAATATGACAGCCTCGTTGGCCGAATGGTTGCAATTACGACTGCCGGGCAAGGGGTCTCAGGTTCGATACCCGGGTGGGGCAAAGTATTACGGGTGGGCGGGCAAAGTATAACATCACGCCTTTTATCCCCGAATGGTTAGAGGGCACATTATGCCGCTGTACAATGTAACACCCACTTATACCGGGCACAATTCCAGACTCCGTGCTACTACTGAGATTTTTTTTAAAACCCAGTAATACTTTGACCTACCCAGAAATCGAACCCGAGACCCCTTGCCCGGCAGTCGCACTTGCGACCACTCGGCCAACAAGGTAGTCATGCTATTTTAACCACATTATGCAATACGGTATCAATTGAAAATTGTATTAGCTCGTAAATTAAATGCTCCAACTGTTATTGGGAGTAATCGATAGAAATGTAATGGAATTTCTGTTCTGAGAAATTCATAAACCGTATCCATTTTGCATTTAGGTATTTCGATTTTGACGTTGAAGTTGATGTTCAAATTATCAAAATGTTTGCGTTTGCAATTGAAATAGTTGCAGCTTACTCGCTCTGTTTGATACAATAATTACATTTCAATGTAGTCATTTAAATTGTTTACGGGTCATTACACTTTTGTATTACTTTGCTAGTTGCTACATAAATGCCATTCATAATTTTACTAATGGCGCAGCGGCTGGGTTATCAGCGACTGTGCAATTTGACAGTTAAGATGGTGGCTGGGCAACTGGTTGCCGTGCAATGGGTAGCGGGTTTGATTCCCGCAAGGAGCAACTCTTTATGTGACCCACAAATCATTGTTCCAAGTCTATAAGTCATGGGCCTGCGGACGGCGAGCATGGGTGGCTCCCCGTCCGACCAGAAACAGACCCGAGCGTACGGCGCGACGCGTTCCGCGCTCGCCTCAAAGAGCCATCAGTCCACCACAGATGGGGCCCAACAGGGCCGATGCCGATTCGGAGTCGCGGAGAACGTAACGGGTTACCGGGGCTCCGGGTCGACGTGCAGGAGAAGGAACGGGGTGGTTTTTAGTCAGTAAGAGCCTGACACCCTCCCTCCCTCCCACCTCACCCAGCGGGAGCTGTCACTCGATGATTTTCCCCCCTTAAAAAAAAAGTCTATAAGTCATGTATATAATATGTACCTACTTGTTTATTTGTAAACGCATCCACGATACAGGAGAAAAAAAATACAGTGGTTTCGGTTGCCACATACACATAGTGGATGTTTTTCTCATGCACAAATTGTTAGGAACAGAGGATAGAGATAAAGAGAAGATTGGATCTTTGATAACCTCAATCATTCAGCGTAACACAAAACAAGCGTTGTATCACGCCAATAGGGTAGATGCCTAATTTTTACTTTACTGTCCGTCTGGTATATTATTTCAAATCATTAGACACGTATTTTTTATTGTCTTACAGAAACGAATACTTTCGACGATATATTGATTTGAAATGTCGCGTGACGTCACTTCTATGTACATTTTATACGTAGAAATGACGTTTTAGCCCCCACTCCTAAACTTTGGTCTCCTATTCGGTTTGTCTAAGTATTGTTTTATTATACGACAAAATACGTGTACATACGTATGTATGACTGCACGGTTGGTGCGGTGGCTGGGCAACCGGCTGCCGTGCAACGTGTCGCGGGTTCGATTCCCGCACGGGACAACACTTTGTGTGATCCACAAATTGTTGTTTCGGGTCTGGGTGTCTTTGTGTATGTGAACTTGTATGTTTGTAAACGCACCCACGACACAGGAGAAAATCCTAGAGTGGGGCAACGTTATTAAAAAAAAAAAAAAAAAAAAAACGTGTCTAATATTTTTTCATTACCTAACTTACGGACTAATTAGATCTTTAATTTTCATATCCTGTCATCATCCCAATTATTTGTGAGGCCGTGGTATCACTCGGATCAAGCCAACTTATTCGTACCAAAACACGACACTCCCACGTAAAAATATCACCAGGAAAATAATAATAACATTAACATTTTTAACTCATAAAATATCAGCGCACGGTATCATGAGAGCAGAAATTTCCAATATTAACGTATTGACCTGGTTTCGAAACAAAAGGTGCACTAATGAAGCAGGCCTTACCTACTTACAAGCACAATAGTACACGGCTATGTATGTAACACAATCAGGGCTTTATGTATTGTTATTGTGTATTTTAATATAGCTGGGAAATTCTGTATGATATGTATTGAAATCAAATACCTACCATTACAATGTCGTTGTGGCCCGGAGCTTACTAAGAGTGTTGTGCGGAATAAGAGTGCTGGTTCAAAACCTATCAAGGGCAAGTACCAATGTAGTTTCCGAGTTATATGTACTTTCTAAGATTATCTAGACACCACTGACAAACGGTGAAGAAAAACATCATGAGAAAACCTGGGCTTACATAACATCACGGCTTTCTGCCCCGAAAGAGTAGGCAAAGGTGCACATTACGGCTCTTAATGCCACTGTATAATGTAACACCCACTTTTAACTATTTATGTTATGAATCCCATGTAATAGGGGGCTTATAATTTGTAATTATAAGTTTTAAATCGCCAATCTGCATTGAGTAAGCGTGGTGATTAATGCTTCTTTTAAACTGTCAAACACCAAGCGGTCACCGGTGACCGCAACCTATTGTTATTTAATTGTGTCTATAAATACGGTACTCGACGAGTTAAGGGTCATACTCTTACTGACTAAAAACCACCCCGTTCCTTCTCCTGCACGTCGAGCCGGAGCCCCGGTTACCAGTTAGGTTCTCTGCGACTCCGAATCGGGTGATTAATGCTTAAACTATCTCCGTGCGAGAAGAGGCCATTGGTCAGCAGTGGCCACTTATAGGCTGTTAGTGATGATACATAAACTCTATGGTAACCAATGCTATACTTTTCACGTGTGTCATAAGACAGTAACTACTATATATTTATCAGAGGTTGGTCCACAGAGCTCTCTGATAAATTGAACCTTCTAATAGCTAATTTGCGGCCTCCAATTCTTAAGTATTGAGGTACTTGATAATTAGGGTTTGCTATAAACCCTGTGCAACCCAAGTGGAAACTATCGCTTTTTTTTCTTCTCTTATAACATCTTCTGATTCATTTCGTTGCGGGATCTAAGACAGTTATTCATGTACCTAAGACGCGTCGGACTTCAGTGTTCCTTTGTTTTCATAGTTGAATCTATTGTATGATCCTGGCTTACAGGAGTTCCAGCGGTTTTGGGAGGTTGTGGCGGGCTTGCTCAATAAAATAAAATATCAGACCCCATTTTTATAATAACTATCGTGAGACATACTGAATTAACTAAAAATTACGTGTTACTCAGGTAAATATACTGAGAACTGATTAGTAGGCTGCGTGACATCATCGCGGCCGTACACGCTGCTCACGAGGAAGAATCCCTCTGTGACTCGAAACTAATAGAACTACTCTGTATATTTACGTGCGTAATTCGTCACTTTTAGTTAATTGCAAACCTTCTTATGTAGTGGAGTAGGAGTCAAGAGTCTCATTGTGGCTCATAAGCCTATAGCCGTTCACTGAAAATAATTCCAAAATAGCCTTCGAAACCCCTTGCTCAAGGCACTTAAATTAACACAAAACACAAATTACATCACAAAACCCCACTAGATGGCGCCACAACCCGTCAATTCATTATTCCACAATGGTAACCACGATTATTTTCCGAAGTAAGTGATAAATTGCCTACATATGTTTGAAAAGGCTATTACTTCGGACCCTTGGGCTCAAATTAACGGCCATTTTGTTTCTATTCCACACAGAGGCCTATTCCATACGCAGGCCTATTTTGGACCTTCGCATGAAATAAGAATGTACGTTATAATTATGTTTTCTTTATTACAGCTATTTGAAATGTTTTTGTTTTCTTTATGTGATGTTGGATGGGATAGCGCTGGAAAATGTGGGTCTAAATTGTTTGTTATAACTTTTGGAATGTTATTTTGTGCTTGAGTATTTATGGGACAGATTGTAGAAGGTATTTGTGAGGTGCAAATCATGATGTTAGTATGAAACGGAATCGAAAACTTAATTGATTAAAAAAATGGTTCACACACGTAAATATACTGAGAAAAGCTCTACTAGTTTCGAGTAACAGAGGGAGTCTTCCTCATGAGCAGCATGCATGGTCGCGCAGCCTACTGATTAGTAGCCTACTAACTAACTAGGAGAGCTTTACGTCAGTATATTTACGTGAATAAATCGTTATTTTTAGTCAATTCAGTATATCTCCCGATATTTATCTTTGTATCTTCTGTGAGTGTGTATGTCATTGAACTTCTCTCAAACGACTGGACCGATTTTGATGAAAATTTTTGTGTGTGTTCAAGGGAATCTGGGAATGGTTTAGATTCACAAATCAGCCCGGCAGATGGCACTTCAGTCGTGTTTAGATTATTTATCCTACACAGCTGAACTAATTTGAATGAATTTTTGTTTATACATTCAAGTGGATATGCAGGACAACGTCTGTCGGGTCCGCTAGTTATAATATAAATATAAAAACTCAATATTATGTGCAAAAACTAGACATACTGATTCACCATGATGCCAATATTCTTTAGCAAATTTCTTGGACATTGTGGAATGCAGAACTCAATCAATAAACCAGTTCTTTTTATAGACCTAGCACAACACTGCCTCATTGACTGAGTGGTCACAAGTGCGACTGCCGGGCAAAGGGTCTCGGGTTCGATTCCCAGGTCGGACAAAGAATTACCGGGTCTTTTACAATAAAACTTAATAGTAGCTCGGTGTCTCGAAATGTGTCCGGTATATGGCAATAGGCTCACCCCCTATTACATGGGACTCATAACATAAATAGTGCAAAGCGGTGTTACATTGTACAGTGGCATTAAGTGCCGTAATGTGCTCCTCTGCCTACACTTTCGGGGATACCAGGCGCAATCTTATGCAATGTTATAATAATATGTTAGGAGAAATAATTATGTTATCCTAGTTGTAAGCATTTTTGTAATTGATTTTATTGAATGTAAGATTTTAACTTTATTATATTGTAAAACTTAACTTTGCATGCCGAAAACAGTAGGCGACGTACATATGTGGGACTATTTTTTATAATTATTACTACCTGTAATTACCATAATTCGTGCAAATAAACGTTCTTATTCTTATTCTTGTGTTACCTAGTACAAAATATCTAGGTACAATTATATTATAAGCGGGTAGCTGTTGAGTTCCTTCGCACTTCTATAAGGAAATACTCAACAAAGTATAAAGCTCTTAACATGAGGCCGATGTGCACAGCATAGAAAATTTGTCACGTCTGCCTGTTACATTATCACGGTGTAAACTTCAACCTGCTTTTCCCATAGGGAAAACCGGAGATACCATTATGCACTTACATTTCCCCTGTTTTGTTATTATTTGTCACTTGTATCGGATTATTTTTTTATTTCTTTTTCTTCTAATATTTTTCTGCTATGCTGAAAGTACTGCGGTATGTCGTAGTACGAGGTTTTACAAGCTCCTTGTCGAAGTTCCCGACTGCAGCATTTCCTATTAGATAAGTTTCTGTACTCAATAATAGATAAACTGTGATAGTGTTATTGCAGTATTTTAATTTCATTTATTCGGTAATTAATTTATCCTTATGCTAAAAAAGGCCCAATTATGTTTTTTTTTTTTTTTTTTTTTTTTTTATTTATTATTACATTTCAGTACAGTTTAAAATTTTTTTTTGCACCATTAAACCACAGCTGGTTTGTATTGGTACTCACATTCGCAGTTTTATGTTATAAATAATATAATAATATATAATATATAAACCTATTCAGTGTGACAATTATGCTAATATAATAAGTGACAAAGATTTTAGATACATTACATATTTTACGAGTAACAGTAAACATCCATGAGCAAAGCATAAACGTACTCATTAAAATTGCAAAGAAACAAAGTACTCAAAGAAACCGATACCGACACACACGGCACTAGCCAATGTTAAACTTTTGCAGTCTACCCCACAATATGCTACATTGGCATTATGTCTTCTATTAGTTCTCAATATGTAACCGGTCCTCGTCAACTTAAAAAATTGTAATATACAGGCTGTTTCCTACATTTTGGTTGTGAATAATTTTAGACCATGTTATTTATGATACTGTGGTAGTATTTTTTATATTTCTGTTTATAGTTTTTGGAGTTAATTTCGTATTTGATATTTTGTGGAATTTCATTAATTATTGTGGGGATTATAAATTTAGAGGTTCGTCTGCCATAATTTTTAACTTGAGGTATTATTAATTTATTTTTCGTAATATTCCTAGTGATTATTTTATGCGAAATGGGTACTTGAATACTTTTATTATTAAATTGTTCACTCAAGAAGGCTAGATCAAAACGAAACTGTACAGGTAATATTTTGCAATATTTAAATAATTCTGTGACGTTATTTCTGCATTTGTCTTTTATTTTACTCGGGACCATAAGTTTTAGAAATCGAACCTGCAATTTGGTTATCTTTTCAACAAGTGTTTTAAAGGTACGCCGTAACTTGTGATTCCGTATGCAATAATTGATTCCGCCAAGGCCATGTACATGCTAAGTAGTGTTTTAAATGGAACTTTCGGTTTCAATATGTAGAACTTAGCCAATATTGCCCGTAACCTGTCACACACTAAGTTGACATGAAAAGACCAGTTGAAACGGTCGTCTACGATTAGTCCTAGGTACGTGTGGTGCGTTACCTGGTCAATTTCCTCGCAGCGACACGCGCCTCGCCGCGTGGAGTGAAGGCAACCGTGACTATGTGATACAATACTAAAAGGCATCATTAGCTTCAAGTGGCTTGAATGGACATGTATTATTTTAGTTTTACTGGAGTTAATAACCAGTCCAGCATCATGTGCCCATTTGGAGACTCTAGTAAAATCTTCCTGTAACCAGTGCGCTGCTATATTAACATCTCTGTGGGCTGCTACAAGGCATGTGTCATCTGCATATTGATAAATTGAGCAGTCATTTACCACATGCTCCATGTCGTTGACATAAGTCAGGTAGTGCAAAGGCCCAATTACTGAGCCTTGAGCCGTCCCATCAGTGACATCAACAGCATCACTCATCTCAGTACTGATTTTAACAGTGTATTTCCGATTGTTCAGGTAGTCTTTACACCACCCAAGCATTGGCCCCCGAATCCCAGAGTTTTCAAGCTTTGTCAACAGCGTGTTATGTTTAAGCGTGTCAAAAGCCTTACTGAAGTCAATAAATAGCAAAAGTACATGGTTTCTGGCATTGAGAGATTCATTGACCTCATCAGTAAATTTTAATAGTTTCAATCATCCAGGTTATACCCTTCGGGATACAGAATTCCACTCTCTCACTCTGGCAAAGAATTCCACTCTTTACAGGACGCACAAGCAAGCTTGATGCGAAGCGCTTCGTGCGTGTGGGTGGGACATCCGACATGAAGGGACTAGAGGAATCAAGTATACCTTTTTGTGATCCCCAAATTAACAACCATCTTTCTTTGTTCACAGTTAAACCAAAATCAGTGGAACTGATGACTGGTGATGGCAAGGTGCTGGCGGACTCAGCAATCTACGGTCCACTGCTGGAGAGGGCCAAGGTCAACATCAGTTGTACCGTGAAGGAAGGGAAACCACAGCCAAAGGTCGTGTGGTACTTCAGGAAGAGCCGAGGAGATGATTTGAGGGAGCTCAACGGTAAGTCATAGTATTATTATGTAGTCAGATTGGTTTCTTTTTTCAAGGTCTACGATTTTTTGCAGTGCATTTTGCAAGGAGTGCGCTATCAAAGAAAATGCGTATTGATATCTAATGTAGACCATTTGATTGAGTTTCCATTTTATGTATTTTCGTTCTAATAGATTTCTGCCTACTTATAGTGAAAATGTGATGTCTAAAACCTATTTTATCTTGGACTAGCTTCTGCCCGCGACTTCGTACGCGCAATACCGTTTTCTCCCGTTCCCGTAGGATTTTCAGGTTTTTTTCTGTATTAAAAACCTTCTAATAATAACAAATATAATAAAAAAAGAATTAGTGAAATCGGTCCAGCCATTCACGCGTGGTTCCAAAGGTTTTATTATTTAAGATTTCCGTTTAATAAGATTTAACACCAGAACCTGATCTTACAGAACACTTATTTTCTGAGCTGTTTGCCTCGTTGGCCGAGTGATCGCAAGTGCGACTGCTTGACATGGGGTCTCGGGTTCGATTCCCGGGTCGGCCAAATTATTACTGTTTTTTTATTCTTAGTAGTAGCGCGGAGTCTGGAATTGTGCCCGGTATATAGCGATAGACTCCCCAGACTCGATAGACTCTCCCGTTACATGTGACTCATAACATAAATAGTGAAAAGTTGATTTAACTTTGTACAGTGGTATTAAGTGCCGTAATGTGCACCTTTGCCTATTCCTTCGGGGATAAAGAGCTGTTAATATTTCCCTTGTTATATTTGATTATTTCGGTTATTACGGTATAATACAAACATGGCATTACCGATTAATATACATATAGCCGGGAAATCTATCAACACTTTAATCACCACTATGCTTAACAAAGCCTAAATTATTAATCAACGACTACACCAAATCAAATCAAATCAAATTAAACCAAATTAAAATCTACCACCGACCAGAACTTAAACCCATCCCGAAATCACCGAATTCTATGTCTAAAATATAAATTGAACTACAGCATAAATTAATCTAATTCAGTTCCTGAAGCTAAATTACGTTGAAATTGAAGCTTTCATTTTAGATTTGTGGTTGGTCGTAGGTATTAAATCAAAACGTTTCCGGACCGATTCAGGTGGTTTTGACCGGTCCGGACCGGATAGATTTGTTGCGGTTTTCAATCTGCACAGGTAAATAGGATCGCGGTCGTATTTATGTACTAATGGCCCTTTTGATATGGTTTCTGTGATTACTTGGTCGTACTTTAGTATATTTTGATAGTAGTTTCTGCGAGTGGTGTTGTTCATATTTACTGGGGTTTAAATTGGCATTGTCAAATATTATTGGAGTCCGTACTGCAGTTTTTGCATGAAAGAGTAACAAATATACATCTTGATTTTTTTATTTATTTTTTTATTTATTGCAAAAATATACATACATAGCGGTATTATACTACTAGTACAGTACATCACCCTGTTAGGGCGCAGCAATTTAACTTATAAATAATAACTAAATAATCATCTAATATATTATGTACTTATTCTATTCATTATTAACTTAATTACTCACTATAAACTTATTATTACTAAAATTATGATGTAAATTAAATAAATAAAAACACAAGACATCACGCTTTAGACGCAGAGGTGCACATTATAACACTTAATGCCACTGTACAATGTAACACCCACTTTTCACTATTTATGTTATGAGTCCCATGTAATAGGCGGTGAGTCCATTGCCATATACCGGGCATAGTTCCAGACTCCGTGCTACTAATGAGATGTTTTAAAAAAACCAGTTATACTTTGCCCGGCAGTCGTACTTGCGACCACTCAGTCAGTAAGTCGATAACATAATAATTAATTAATGTTAAAATATAAACTTCTATATTTTGTTTTCAAAATTTAAAATTTCTTTCAATATCCAATAAGCCACACAAAACCACTTCACAAAACAAGAGAAAAATCTCGAACAAAATCCTTCTACAAAAGTGCAAGACCTCACTTCCTATCGTTTGTATTCAAATCCTGTTCAGGTATAACCACAAACGTTTTAAACGCTAGTCGGTAGCGGATTCGATTCCCGTGCCACATTTATTTATTGTTTGGGTAGCGGCTCTGAATGTAAAGCAGTATTGATTATTTTGTTTTTGGGTTAGGCTTGATTTTTGAATTATAGTTGTGTACGGGATTCGATTTCCGGGTTGTGGTATGGTATAAAGGTGGCTAGCTGGCTTGTGCCTATAAATTATGTAACTGGCGGAGGTATAAGTATGTACATAAAGGTCACAATTGAGTTTCAACTCTAAATTAACTCAACTTAGACTTAAAATACCAGGTCACGATAATCATATCATCAACAAGCTGTAACAGTCCACTGTTGTACAATGAGCCTCCTTTATATGAGGGGAATTTACTATAATCTCATCGCTTAGTTCGGATTTTACGGCACTTAATACCATTGTACAATGTAACACCCACTTTCCACTATTTATGTTATGACTCCCATGTAAAAGGTAAGCCTATTGCCATATACCGGGCATAATTTTAGATTCTGTGCTACTACTGAGAATTTTTTAAGTTTTGACTGCCTATAAAAACTTTTTGAAGGCTATTCCTCAACTAACGCCTGTTCCCATAGTAATGTGTTAAAACCCAGTAATCTTTGCTTAACCTGGAAATCGAACCCGAGACCCCTTGCACAGCATTCGCACTTGCGACCACCAACGAGGCAGTTAGAAGAGTTACTATTTCGAAATTGTGAAATCTGTCAATAATTTAGCATGCAACCAATGCTTAAATTATTTCTATAATATCCCTGCTTCATATATATACTTTAATGCACACAAAATAAGGTACATAAGGCGGACTTAATGTTATATGGCATTTTCTCCCAGTCAACCTTTGGGTTAAATATAAGGTCAGCGAAAATGAGCGTGTGTAATATGCAAAAAAAAAACAAAATAAAATAACTAATAGAAATAATAAATACTGTATAAAAATATATAATAAACACAAAATATGTATCTTTATAGAGGTATATATAATTCTTCTGTGAGTGTGTATGTCACTGAACTTCTCTCAAACGACTGGACCGATTTTGATGAAATTTTTTGTGTATGTTCAAAGAGATCTGGGAATGGTTTAGATTCACAAATCAGCCCGGCAGATGGCGCTGCAGTCGATGTTTAGGTTATTTATATATAATTTGAATGAATTTTTGTTTATACATTCAAGTGGATATGCAGGACAACGTTTGTTGGGTCCGCTAGTATAATTATAATATAATATAAATTGACGAAGACACGAACTCAGCGTTGTAGCGCCTTTAAATAGGCCTCACGAACACTACATTTAAAAGCCATTTCGTTTGGAGCCATTTTTATACTATGGTATTTCTATACTACATTATCTACTTCACAAACAAATATCTAATAACCATAAGCCACAATGTGACAATACGATCCGTTTTCCAGACATTTGAAATGAAATGAATTTATTCTCGAAACCGCATCGGTCCAAATGAAATAACCAAGCATATAGAAATCTCGGATTAAAATATTTCCGGATCGACTTTTCAAAATGGACCTGGCACTTCTGACAGATTAATTTTTGCTAGAAATCTGAGGCCAGTGGATAGAGAATCGATTTTGACTTTGGTCTAGAGGTTTTGCGTGTGATTGTCACATCTGATGATATTGTGATGGTTTCGTAACTTCATGGTTTCTTGTGGTTGAAGAGATGAATGTTCAGTCAATAGTGTATTGGGGTATACTAAGCAATATTTACTGAAGTATGCTGCATATTAAAATATTACATTTTGAATCAGAATCAATCGAATCAAACCGCTTTAATGCATATATGTGTGGTTAACAATATCTTGAGATAATGTGTTCCAACTATTTCTCTGCCTGCCTCATTGGCCGAGTGGTCGCAAGTGTGACTGCCGGACAAGGGGTTTCGGGTTCGATTCCCGGGTCGGGCAAAGTATTACTGGGTTTTTTAAAACCCCAGTAGTAGCACGGAGTCTGGAATAGTGCCCGGTATATGGCAATAGGCTCGCACCCTATTACATGGGACTCATAACATAAATCGTGAAAAGTGGGTGTTATATCGTACAGTGGCATTAAGTGCCATAATGTGCACCTCTGCCTACCTCTTCGGGGAAGACAGGCGTGATGTTATGTTATGTGTTCCAACTATAGGTCAAAGAAAATGAAAAACAATATCATGAGCTTTGGAAACGTCGAATAGAATTGTCCCTCGGTTTGTCCGATCGTCCAGCAAAATTTTGAGTGAATATGTAGGCTCGGAAAAGTAATCTTTTAAAGAGCGATTGGACAGAATCCTAACCTAACAAGAAATATCCTTATGGACATTTTTCCATCTGTCTACCCAAAAAGAAACGCGTCAAAATCTAGATGATACCATCAAACATGAGAAACGAACACAATATGCTGCTCTTCAGAATTCCGCAGCTATCTCATGAACCATTTGTATGCAGAACCCGGCGGCGAGTGATAAATTACACAGCTTGGCACGTGAGCTCTATGATGCATTCATATTGAAGTTTTAGGGATCCGCGGTCAATTGGTTCAATAGTTTTTAAAGGTCATTGGCAAAAACGAAACTTACGGCTTGTCTGATGGTAAGCAGGTACCGTAGCACTAAGAACATTGGCTACACTTAAGGTATCACGACTGCGTGGCGAAACTTATATAGAGGTAAATAAAATGACCTAAATCTACTTGATTTGATATGAAATAGTATTATTATTATTATAGGACATTGCTCTGTGTCCATACATTGTTGGCCCTGGAGCCAAGAGTATCGGATAAATATGTATTGTATTCTCTATCATTTGTAGACTCCTCGAAGATCTTGTTTTTATAGCGGACTTGCTGCAGAAAAGATATGTTTCAATATAAGTATCAGCTTTTGAGGTTATAATCTATCTACACAAAAAAACAATGACTGAACATAGAACCACGTCTTTTTTGAGGTCAATAATTAAAATTACTGC